ATCCACCCACTTTCACAGATGTCTCGGTGTTCATTATGTTATGATGCGGTGTGTGCAGTGTGTCTGCCCAGCTGGAGCAGCAGGCGGCTGTCCATCGCATGCAAGTAGAGCAAATGCAGGCCAAGATCGACCGGTGAGTGGAAAGGGATGAGAGGGACACTCGAATCGGTCACCCGCCACAGCATCCCTCTGTCCTCCGTGCCATGTGTGTGCAGGTTGGCAAACGAGTGTCAGCGTCGTCAGGATGAGCGCGACAGCTACGCCGCACAGGTCACGCAAATCGATGCACTCAGGAACGAGCTCAAGAAACGACCCAAGTGAGCAGCAACGAGTGCCCCACACACCCACCCACTGTGCATGTGTTGTAATCGTGGTGTCTGTCGTGTCAGTCTGACGGTGGATGCGTTGCTGGAGACTCAGAGCACCGAGGAGCTGGACGCCTTCATGGCCATGGCGACGCAGCAGCAGACCAACCTAGCTCAGATCTTCGCCGCCGCCACCAAGCACGCCCGCCACCTCAGCCAGCCCAAGTGTCTGGTGTGTGGTGACGATACCTATGCCGTGTGGCGGTTCTTCCCCTGTCTGCACATCTGCCTGTGCAACCCATGCAAGGAGGGCTGGTGTGCTCGGGCAAAGCAGACGGGCGAGCCGCTGCGGTGCCCACAGTGCAACGGGGAGGTGGAGCACATGAAGCAGGAGGGGGAGATCGTGCGATAGATGATCATCATCGCCCGCACACGCGCACCCTCACACACCATTGGGGTGAGATGAATGTTTTTCTGTCGAGCGCGCTACGTAGCGACACGGACATTTCAAGTGTCCACATCCATGTCATGACCCCGAGAAAGCGAAAGCGATGATGTCAAACCCCAGCAAGATATGAAATGTAGACAACGATCAGGCGAGTTCGCGCACCGCACCGGTGCTGGTGCGCGGCGCGCCCCCTAGACGGCCCCACACCAGCACACCACACAGCATCCACGCCCTCTCCGCACAACCCATAAGCCACCCACCCACCCACCCCTCCTCCACACTACAGCCACTCCCTCCATGCGGCGACCCTCCGCCTTCCGCGTCCATCCATCCACCCTCACACCCTCGAACCGCATCACATAGACACGCCACGCCCCCTGGACGGCTGAAATCCACCACAGACAGAAACAACACAGCCCCCCCACCCTCCCTCCCCACTCAACCCTCCTCCACAGCATCAGACGTGGCCCGTCTTGGGTTGTTCCTTGTCAAGGGCTTTCTCTGATCACCAGACATGCAGAAACCGTTTGTGAAGAGATTTGTATCTGCAGATGTCGTAATCGGACGTACTTGATCTCTTCTCGGGCCGCTTGGGCGGCTTGGGCCGCGTGACTGTCGGGGGTGGTCCGAATGTTCCGTCAATGGGGCGGCGGGGGATGCCGACGAGGAAGGGTGGGCGCCGTCCTGGGAGCGGGGTCTTGCCGTCCAGCATCTTCTGCTTGGACAGTGTCTCCTTCTTCGCTGAGAGAGACACACATAAGCAGACAGTGAATGACTCATGGCAAGACGCAACGCTGCCTGCACACACCCTCTTAGCATACCGGGCGTCTTCTCGGGCACCGGCGGCAGAGAGGGCTTCTTGTCCCGAGAAGCCACCCTGAGGCGGCTCCCAGTCGCCTGGTTCAGGTGGTTGTGGCGCAACCTCTGCAGGCGCTCCCGGAACGTCTTGCCCTTGGCCGCAAACTGAGAAGCCACCAGGACACCATCGAAAGTCAAAAGCTTTCAACATGACGGTGGCCTTGACGGTGCAGCTCACCTCCTGCATGAACTGGCCGACTCTCCTAGTCACCTCGAGCATCTCCGCCAGCAGCCTCTCCTCGGGGTCCTCCTCCGGCTGGAGCACCAGGGCGCCGCTGGAGGTGCTGCGCCGGGTCACCAGAGGTGCGGGCGGCGTTCGGCAGCCCTCTGTTGCCGCCGGCTGGTGCTCCTCCTCCTCGCTCGCCGTCTCCTCCTCTCTCTCGTCGGCCGTCTCCCCTTCCTCGTTCTTCTCCTCCTTGACGACCTCCTCATCAAGGTGGAATTCGTCGCGCAGGTCGACTTCGACCATGGCCTCGTGCAGGTCTGACACAGAGAAAGTCACGCTCCACATGCCTGCCGCTCTTCTCCTCCGTCTCCAACTTACCTTTCGTATGGGGGTTTTCTTTTTCGGTTGCCTCCATCGATGTCCTTCAAAGACAGCCGTCCTGTGAGGTGGATGCATCAGGATATCGCACAGCAGTAGCTGGAACGTCCTCATGTGCCTGAATTTCAACTACCTTGAGTTCGTGGATATCTTTGTGGTGTCGGACCTCTTGTCGTCTTATGTCATCTTGCAGTTTTTCCTGCAGAGCGGTAAGATAAATTTATTAGTGTGGCCGTCCCCATCCATGCGTACCTTGTCCAGATCTAATCTGGCGACTTTCGTCTCAAGCTCTTCTGTGCTGCGTCTGTAGAAATCGAGGTCGATCTTCATGCGATTAGTGGCCCAAATAGTGAAACTCCTGTTGGCGCAGCCCACACAAAGCATACCCGTGAGAGAGATGGGGTGTGTGTCTGTGTCGTGTTGTGTTATCCTGTGCTGTGCATTCACTATACATTCTTCTGTCCTCGTTGGAACCGGGGGTCGGCGTCTACCTGAACACACACGCCACAGAGAGACAGTCAGATGCCCCCGCGCATCTCTCCTCAGTGACCTTGACGGGCTCGTCTGCTGGTTGAAAAGCCAGAGACATATCACCACAGCACAGACACATGAATGGAATACCCTCACCACATCACGTGCTTTAGCTCACCGGCTCTTTCGTCGGCCGCTCTGGCAACTGCGGCGGTGTCGCCCTTCTCTCCGCTCTCCCTCTCTTGTCGGGGCCGCCGCATCCACTCGGCTGGGGATCCTGAGGCTCTCCGCCAGCTTGTTGCGGTTGTCGATGGCCTTGCGGAGCGCGTCGAGCATCTCGCCCCATGTGTCCCCCGCGGGCACGACCCCTGCCGGAGCCCACCAAGAATATGCACATAAATGTCGCTGAGATTCTTGTTGTGCTTCGAATATCCTCTTGTTGATTTCCTCCTCTTTCCTCCTTCGCTGCTCCATAAGTTCCTCCTCCATATGGGAAATGCAGCTGTCGGACTGAGAACATACACAGAGGACGCGTCTGTATATGTATGTATGTGTGTGTAAGTGCTTGGTGGGAACCTGAAGTCTCATTAGATTCCCCTCAGGCCTTGCTACTGTACTCCCCTGGTCAACCTCGGTGTGACGCATACAAAAGAACGAACCGTCATGTGAGCATGCGGGTCTGTGGTGTGTGTGGTGTGTGTGCATCCGTACTTGTGAGATGTGTCTGGCTCGTTCCTTGCTGGCGAGGGGCGGGGACTGGGAATTCGTCAAATCATGGCTATCGACCTTGGGCTCCGCCTGTTTTGATGTGACCTGTCCTGCCAGGAGATGCCGACTGGGCCACACTGCTGCCTGAGGTGCTCCAGCAGCAGTTCGGCGCTGCCCGGCATGGCGACAGGACAAGGGGTGCGATAAACACTAACAACACAAGGACCTGCCACCACAACAACAGCACACCACAATGCATGACCCCACACAAGCCCCCATCGTTGGCTCGCAGTTGGGAAGTCTTGAAGCTGTCTCGTCCGTCTTTGTCTGTGTCGATGGCTGCTGCTCTCGTCATCTCCTTCCACTTCACCAAGGGCGTTGCTGTGAACGCACACAGACAGAGAACCGGATCCCATTAAATTGCGACACCTGGCGCTGGCCCGTCGGCATTTGCAATTCGCGTCCAAGTGAATTCGTGTCTACAAGATGAGGCCCTGTGTCACACACACACAGATGGAAAGAGAGCACCAATTCGCTGACTGTGTACACTCCTCTCAGTCCCTCACCTGCACTTGATGGTCTTGAGTGCCACTTATGTCCTCGTCTCTGCAGGTCTGCATGACGAAGTACAGGTCTCGATCAGATGCATTGTCTGCCGGCTCGTCGCAGGGCCGTCTTCGATGGGAGGGGAGGGGAGGGGAGGGGAGGGGAGGGGACGGGCGAAGAAGTCGGGCGGGCAAACTAATGAGATGCGCCGCTGTAACGTTGATGGTCGTTGGACGTCCGGGCCTGAGTGTTCCAAGGAATCCGACAAACAAAATGAGTGAGAGTGCTTCTGGTGCATGAATGCGTCTACCTGCCGCATTGCTGCCGCTGACGCCGAAGAGACGAACGATATCATCTAAGAGTCGTCGTCTGTATCTGACGCGCCGCCGTCGGCCTGCTCCACAGCCGACTTGGAAGGCGATGGGCGACTCGGCAGTTCGTTGGTCAGAAAAAGCCGACGGAACGCCAGATGAAGAGACACAGGAAATATGAAATGCAGACAGCGATAAACTCACTGACAATAAAGAGACATGGGGACAATGCATGAGTGCAGAGGTAGCGTATGCAGAATGAGCACCTGCCTACCTTGCCCTTCACGGCACCTCCTCCTCGAGTGGGTGGCTGCAGGGACGGCACACGTCGCACAGTCCGGCCCGATGCCTGCATCAGCCACACAGACACACACAAGCGCCTCTCTCTCTCTCTCTGGACATTCATCCATCCATCCATCCATTCATTCATTCAGCAGGCCTACTGTTCATGTGACTCAGGTTCTTCATGGCCTCCTTGTCGCCGGTGACCGTTTTCAGCTCCTGCACACATCGCTCACACACACACACACACACAAAGAGAGGTAATGTAAGAATATTATGATAGTATGATAGTTTGCCCACGGCGAGAGATGTGATGTTGTTGCACTTCAGAGCCCACATCAGGTGGGCGAGGCCGTGCATGGTGAGGAAGCTCTCGAGCGCCTGAATCAGGCAAGAAAGACGACGCCCATTCACACATTCACACATGAGTGGGAAGTCTGTGCCCAGTGACCATGATCAGGGATGCATTCCACTCAGTCCACTCCCTGTCCATCCCTCTCCCTTTCTGTCTCTGTCTGTGTGTGAGTGTGTGCCGACGTCGCCTCATACGGGTATGGAGCTGCGGAGCTGGGCGAGGCGCGCCTGTTCCTGAACTGCATCCACACAGACGACACACAATGAACACACCGAATCAACCACACAGTCGCCACACTGTGTGGTTGAAGCCAGGGAGGGAGGGAGGGAGTGTGGTGGTTGTCAGTCAGGGTGCTGGCTCATTCACCTCTGAGACGCAGAGGCCGTAGTTGAGAATTATCTTGAGCAGCAGCCTCTCCCCCGACACGGCGCTGCGCAGACCCACGGTGCATGAGCTGGCTTTGGTGGAGGTCCACTCCTGCTGCAGCTCGAACATGCGGTGGCACTGCTTGGTGCACAGGGCATCCTGCACACACAGTTAACACGGCCACACACTGCGTAAGTACTGCATGTTGAAAAGAGGGCCGTCGTGTTGATGCCGTGTCTCTTACGCAGAGCTGCTGCACACGGGGGCTGCATGCGGCTGAGTAGCAGCCCCTCTGGCAGTCTGGCGGACTCCTCTGACAAAACCTCCTCCCCCTGGAGACAACACCATTCGATGACTCAGACGGGCATTCTGCAGTGCCTTTCTTTCTGAGCGCAGTGCCCTCCTTACCTCCCCCGAAGCAACATCCGTTCTCATGGTGACATTCTTGAGTGTGCGGCAGCTGCGGCGGTCGCAATGCAACAATGGGCTCACTGTGCTCGCGACAGGGGACAGCTGACAAGCTTCTTCGCTTCTCAGCTTCTGCTATCTCCGCGCAGGTTATGTAGAGCCGCTCCGGAACTCCCATCCCTGCACACACAACACAGCGATGGATGTGTCATGATATCCCACCACGCATTGTCGTCGTCTTGTTAATGTCCGTACCACGATCCTCACGGTGTTGCGATGGCCCTTGCCCTGCCGGTCACGATGCTCCCGCCATAAGAGACACGCCAAGTATAAAATGTAGACACCGATCCTGCATGGACACACACACATACGAGCCGCGGTGGGCTCATGATGGCAGAGGGAACAAGGAATTTCTTCTGTGGCAGTCGCCTCGCAGCCAGATTCCGGAGACGGGGAAGACGCGAAGCCTGTCTCGGTCCATCCATCCATCCATCCATCCATCGGCACGGCCAAACGAACAAACAAACAAACAAAGGAGGTAGGGAGGTAGCGATGCTGGCAAGAACAAGTGTACAAACAAGTGCATGGCGTCTTACTTACCGCCCCGGGGATGAGCTGCAGTAGTTGGATGCACACGTTGGTCAGGTCGGCCCGGTCGCGGCGAGTGACGGCCTCCTGCACGTCACGTACGCCACACACACACACACACACACAGTATAGGAAGAAGGCATGGAGGTATCCACATCTCTGAGTGCTTACGAGTTCTGTATTGTCGGCCGCCTGGCGGAGGCGGGCGAGGTCGTATCTCTTCGTCGTCTAGCTCGACGCCTATATCATCGGCCTTCACACACACACACGCATACATACACACGGTTGTACGCAACACTTGTCTGCCCCGGCCCGCCCACCGCGATGCCGTCGAACACGAGCCGTCGGTCGTGGGCCCATTCGAGCAGGTCCAGGGCGCCGCGGACGAGCCGCGCGATCAGCCGCAGCGCTATCCTTCCGGCCATGGCCTCTGTTGCGCCCTCCTCCCTTGCGTGTGCCACTGCCATGGCGACAGTATCGACGCAGTCGCTCAATGTCACTGTTCAAAGGCGAAGAGAGAGGCAGAGAGAGAGAGAGAGCATTTGATGTGATGTGATCCCATAGCTTAGACGGATGGATCTTTGTGTAGAGTTCTCACCGTTGGCCTTTTCGATGAGTGCGCCCTTGAGTCCCTGATGGACGACGATGTCGAGCACTGCTGGGATGGCGGCGTGGCGAAGGCGGTGCTCTCGGACCAGGTCGTAGCCACACATGGGCAGCCCGAACATGTCAATCACCTGCAAACCATACACAGACAGCCACACACCCACACGCCCATCAGCCAGCCAGCCAGCCAGCCAGCCAGGGAGGGAGGGAGGGAGGGAGGGAGTGTGGTGGTTGTCAGTCAGGGTGCTGGCTCATTCACCTCTGAGACGCAGAGGCCGTAGTTGAGAATTATCTTGAGCAGCAGCCTCTCCCCCGACACGGCGCTGCGCAGACCCACGGTGCATGAGCTGGCTTTGGTGGAGGTCCATTCCTGCTGCAGCTCGAACATGCGGTGGCACTGCTTGGTGCACAGGGCATCCTGCACACACAGTTAACACGGCCACACACTGCGTAAGTACTGCATGTTGAAAAGAGGGCCGTCGTGTTGATGCCGTGTCTCTTACGCAGAGCTGCTGCACACGGGGGCTGCATGCGGCTGAGTAGCAGCCCCTCTGGCAGTCTGGCGGACTCCTCTGACAAAACCTCCTCCCCCTGGAGACAACACCATTCGATGACTCAGACGGGCATTCTGCAGTGCCTTTCTTTCTGAGCGCAGTGCCCTCCTTACCTCCCCCGAAGCAACATCCGTTCTCATGGTGACATTCTTGAGTGTGCGGCAGCTGCGGCGGTCGCAATGCAACAATGGGCTCACTGTGCTCGCGACAGGGGACAGCTGACAAGCTTCTTCGCTTCTCAGCTTCTGCTATCTCCGCGCAGGTTATGTAGAGCCGCTCCGGAACTCCCATCCCTGCACACACAACACAGCGATGGATGTGTCATGATATCCCACCACGCATTGTCGTCGTCTTGTTAATGTCCGTACCACGATCCTCACGGTGTTGCGATGGCCCTTGCCCTGCCGGTCACGATGCTCCCGCCATAAGAGACACGCCAA